CACTATGTCTTCACAGTATCTTCTTATTCATACATCAGTCATACTGGGTTAAAGGCCCACCCTACTCTAGTAAGCTAAGACCTTAACTATTTCTGCAAGGACCTGTTTCCAAATAGGGTTCCATCCTGAGGTATTGGGGGTTAGGACTTCAACATACATTTTTGGGTGACATAATTCAACCCATAACACTTTTACATATCATGTAAGTACTCATTTCAATTTCCTCATTGCTTCTGATTATTTCACAGATGACTCTGGTGCTTTCCTGGTGCACAGCTTATCTGCATATAATGAAAATGATGTCTCTTTTCCAATATTTATTTATCATTTCATCTTCTTATCTAAGCTCATTGGCTAGTACTTTATCACACCTAGATGAGAGGTATTCATTATCTTTAAAAAGTTTGCTTTATTATTTTTAAAGTCTGAGTATGATTACTACTGGAGTGGAATATTTTTAAAAACCATCCATTTGTATTTCTTCTTCTGTGAACTGTGTTTCTATCCTTTGTTTACTTTTTATACTGAAGGTTTTTAATTAATTTGAAAGAGCTCTTGTGCACTGAAAACCTTAACTTCTTGTGACATATTACAAATATTTTCCTCCAAGATTTTGAAAGCACCTTGTCAACTATCCAGCAGCCAGGAGAAAGCACAAAATATAAGAAAGGTACAGATCTACTGTAACATAGATTAATTATAACCTTTCTGTGCAACAGTCCAATACATGAGCAAATCCCTCCCATATTGTAAGAGTAGTAAGATGAATAGTGGAGAGCAATGTAGATTTTTATGAAGCACTCTTGAAAATTTCAAGTACAATAATACTTATAACTTGTCTTATAGTATAGCATTTCCAAACCATTCAATTTCTTTCCAGCTAAAGCACTCAAAGGTGCTTCAGGGACTAAATGATCTGATTAACCCTTTAATACCAAATGCCTCACAGCTCTGGCTCCCACGTACTCATCAAGTTTACACTGACATTTAAAGGCCTTAATGCCATCAAAGAAAGGATTAATCTATCTTTGGTTTGTCTAAATGACCAAATAATAAGATTTAAGTGATAACTAGCTGTAGGATATGTCCTTATTAAATTTGATAGGATTTTTAAAAACCAAGTAATGTAATGAAGTTTGCAAAGTGATTTGGATTAAACAGGTTTGACTGCTCAATCTGGAAGTGATCCAGTGCACAGGTACAGGTATAAAGGCAATTTTAAAATATCAGGCTTTGAATGTTGCTGACTAGAAAGTTGAGAAATGTTAAACAAACATTACAATATATTGTTTTAGCTAGTTTTCATTACTCATAAAATAAACGTGTGCTTATTTTAGCAGTGTGCCTTCTCTCCCCTCCTCACAAGTTTCATTCCCCCGCAAAGATTCACATAACTTAACATGGCACAAAACATGAGAAAAGAAAGACAACCTAGTTCTTGGGATGTTGATGTTCATTCAGAAATATAAATGTCCCAAAAGCCTAGACAGAAAGTCCCTGTCCAGGACCACTGAGGGGGTATTTTGATTTACTAGGACTGATCTACCCATTAGCCAAGAATGTACAAGTGAAGATGCTAGGACTTGGGAATGTTCTTACTGGCATTAAAACCAGCCTGGACTTGGTCACCCTACTGATTCCATACCTTGTACCTTTATTTCTTTGTCCTATGCATATTCTTACTTAAAAATGATGTGACCTTTGCTGTACAGAAAAATACAGATGTTAGTTTCACTACTTGGATCTGTCACTTGAATGCCTTTGTTTTGCCTGTGTTCTCTATGGAAGTCTTTATATTTGTCTGTACAAGGACTCGGGGCATATTACAAATTATAAGTAGTTACACTTTACCATGACGCTATATACCTGCAATCTGTATGACTTTGCACATGTTCACTAAGACAACTGATGTAAGAAGATTATATGTCTCTGTGTGTGTGTAAAATTTTCACAAATAGAATAATTTTATATGATTGTATTTGGGTGTGTTTTTCACCACCCAATAGCAGGTAGGAGTTGTACATAGTAAGAACACATATTGTATACACACACACATTCATATATATGTCCTGGGTCACAATGGAAAATGTGTTTTGTATTGTGGTTTGCAGTCAAAACAGTGGGAAAGGCACTGTATTAAATGTGTTTGCAATGTGATGGAATCCTTCTTGGCATTCTTTCTCTCATTTCCAGAGGTCAAACATGTTCTTGCTTTTCATTCAATCTACAAACGTTTACTGGACAACTACTGTATGTTGGTTGAGGGCTCAGGTGTCGGGGCAGGAAGAAAAAGAGGCAAAATTAGTTGGCAATTTCTACCTATTATTACACAGATATAAGGGTTTAAATAAAAACTTAAAAACAAGATGCTGAATTGATACCAGTTGCTCGTATTTTAATATACTTATTGATGGCCATGAAAACCTAAGTGGAATGTATGAAAAATTCCCAGAAATAAAGTCTTCACAGGATGTTAAGCCTCTTGTGCTTCTCATTAATACTTCGAGAGTGATCCAGTATAAAATCTATAGTTGAGACAGGAATTCTCTAAAGATATATTTCTTTTTCTTTTTTTTTTTTTTGAGACAAAGTCTTGCTCTGTCACCCAGGTGGCAGTGCAGTGATGCGATCTCAGCTCACTGCAGCCTCTGCTCCCAGATTCCAGCGATTCTCCTATCTCAGCCTCCCGGGTGGCTGGGATTACAGGCACGTGCCTCCACGCCTGGCTAATGTTTGTGTATTTAGTAGACATGGGATTTCACCACGTTGGCCAGCAGGTCATAACTCCTGACCTCAGGTGATCTGCCCACCTTGGCCTCCCAAAGTGCTAGGATTACAGGTGTGAGCCACCACATTTGGCCAATAAAGATATGGTTTTTTTTCATTTATCTTATTATGGATTTCTTCTTTTCTAGGCTTTTTGGCAACAAAGTAATTTTTTTAGTAACCATGATTTGGGTCCTTGCTGCAAAACTTATACATATGAATCTATATATACTTTAGTATTTGTTCTCGTTAAGCTTTAGTTGGTCAAGAAACCATTTACTATATATATCTATATCTATCTATCTATCTATCTATCTATCTAGAGAGAGAGAGATGCTTACACATTAAAAAAAATACCAAAATAGTTTCTGTAAATGAACTACTACTTGGAAAACTAAATATTAGTGCTCCCTCCCATCCCTCATCCCTTCCCAAGCCTATCTATTGCCTGGCGCTTGATAGCAACCACAAAATAATCTAATTTTCTTGGTGTTCAAACCTCTAATACTAACCTTAATATCACATTTTACACTATAATTAGTTACTTTTTATTTTCTCAACTTTTCCTTTTCCCACCTCAAATACTTTTAAAATGGCATGTAATATGTTTTGGGATGACATTCCAATTTAGAAATGCTTCTGATATATGTTATTCTCTGAAGAAGTACTTTTTGGCATGTGTAAATAAATTTATTTATTTATTTAGTTTTTGAGACAGAGTCTTGCTCTGTCGCCCAGGCTGGAGTGCAATGGCACGATCTTGGCTCATTGCAACCTCCGCCTTCTGGGTTCAAGCAATTCTCCTGCCTCAGTCCCCCAAGTAGCTGGGATTACAGGTGCCTGCCATCATGCCCAGCAAATTTTTGTACTTTTTAGTAGAGATGGGGTTTCACCATGTTGGTCAGACTGGTCTTGAACTCCTGACCTCAGGTGATCCACTTGCCTTGGCCTCCCAAAGTGCTGGGATTACAGGCATGAGCCACCGCACCTGGCAAAAGTTTATTTTATAAGTGATATAATCTGTGCGCTTTATAACAACAGAACCTTTAGGAATAATTTAGGAAAAACAATTATTTTTCTCTTTTCTGATCTTTGGATGTATTCAATAAATATGTTATGATTTCTAGCAATTATCTGCAACTTCCAAAATCATACCAACCATACTAACACTGTAAGTATTTAATGCAGCAAAAATTCAAGTGTTGTTTTTTTCCAATTTTGACTTTTCAAATTTAAATGCTATACATAGATATTTGGTTCCTTATATCAATGCCCATTAGGCTGGTGATATAAGGCTCACACACATTTTCTGGAAATATAAAAAATCTAAATGAGTTGTCTTGTATTTTTGGAAAATAAACTCACATGATTGGCTAATAGGGTCACAACTGTACCAGAAAAATGTTTTCTGACAAAATGATACTTTTTCCCCCTGAGTCAATCTAGATAATCAAGACTGGGCTACAGCCAAATTGTGGTGGAGCTGGCCCAAATATTCATAACTCTGTGTTCAGTGATGTCATATTAGTAGTTTGAAATTGGTCACAGTCGGAGTATTTATACCACAGAAATCAGCAAAAGCTACCAATCAGAGGCTCCCCTCCTATTCTGAAGAGCCTTTAAATATTTGCCAGCACCACTTCACTGGCAATAGCCATTATTGTTTCAAAATACCATTCAACTCTTCATTGTTCATAAGAATCTTATTTGAAGATCTAAATGGTTGGGTGTTTTCTGTGTGAATCTGTCCTGGAAAAAGATTTAAATGTTTCTCATTCATTGATAGTAATGGAAATGTTAGACTTTCACTGTGAAGGCCTTATGTGAGACATTCCCCAAAAAGGGTTCTTCCTTTTGTATCAGTTGTATTCGATTCCAAATAAACTGCTTATAATTCAATCTTTTAGACATAGGGTCCTGCTATGTTCCCTAGGCTGGAGTACAGTGGCATAATCATACCTTACTGCACCCTCATACTACTGGGCTCAAGCAATCCTCCCACTTTAGCCTCCCCAGTAGTTGGGAATACAGGTATGTACCACTATACCCAACTAAAATTTGGATTGTTATTTGAAAAACTGGTATCCTATTTTTTAAAACTCAATCTATGCTTACGAAGCAAAATACATAGAGTTTAAATAGAACCTAACAGATTATAGTTCTCTGTCATAAAGTCTATGTGGTTTAATGATAAAAGGTTAATTTAAAAATTTTGTAAAGTACAAAATAAACAATTTTATTAGATGTATTCATTTATTTGACATATTAAATTAGACAAAGAAATACATACGTAACCAGATAAAAGCAATCACATTCTCACACTACTTGAACACACAGCAGTGGTCAAAAATAATGGATTGTAAAATGGACCCCAGGATTCAATGCAAAAACCACCCCATAAAAGAAAAGTTTCAGGCTTCTAACTTCACTGAATCCAGTACTAAACGTGCTTCTTTATATTCCTCAGTTTCTTCCAAGTCTTTTTCACATTCCTAAAATGAAATACAATAAAAATTAAGTTTATCCTTTTCAAGTTTCAGTACTTTGTTATTTACTCAAATATTACAAACCATTAATGTAAATAACTAAAAAATTAAAAGTAAAAAATCCCAAGCCTCATCTAAACATACTGTAATTCCACAGGTTTCCCACATTCTGCTCCTTCTTTACAAGGAAAGGAAGAAAAAACTGGTGCTTTTGCTTCACTGTATATATTCTCATATAATAAGTGAATAACACAGCCTTCTAAAGCTACCAGCATTAAGTAAATTAAATAAAAACCTCAGAAAAGTTTATTCTCATTTTGTTGACCCATCATCATCATACGAAAGAGAAAAGTAAAAAGCAAGATTTACTAACATATTCCATACATGACAGCATTCAGGCCAAAATAATCCACCAACTATTCCCAATGACAAAGAAGGCTTTCTATGTCACAACAGAGTTAAATATAATCTCTGAATTCAACAAATGAATTGCTTGCTTGCTAATGGGTATTACATACCCTACACTAAAGGAAACAAAATACATCTTTCATTTTCTGATATTTAAAGATTGAGTTTTTCCATAATACTGATATATAGGCAACTTTTACTAATATATTGTAATGATAACAGAAAAATGAAATAATAACATCTAAATTACTCTACACAGGAAATTTTGTTTGATTTTTACATGAAGCTATCTATGGTTAGCAATTTATGTCAGGTCAATAAAAGATGGAGATATACAAACAGAGTAGAGGAAATAAAGTATGTGTGTATTTAATATGCAAACTGAAAGCAAAAGGACTGAGAATTTGCTTAGCTCAAACTATAGGTAAGAATTTCTTAAACCTCCATGTTACACCTTAAACACATGTTTGTTCTCTGTTAGTAAATATAAGCTCTTCGGGGGCAGAGATATTGTTGAATACATCCTCACACACAAATATATCATCCAAAGACATTATTATTATTATTTTCGTATTTATTTTAGTAGAGATGGGGTTTCACCATGTTGGTCAGGCTGGTCTTCAACTCCTGACCTCGTGATCCGCCCGCCTCAGCCTCCCAAAGGGCTGGGATTACAGGCATGAGCCACCGTGCCCGGCAGCCGACATTATTTTTTTCAAGCAATTTCTATTACTTTCTCAGCTACTAGATTCATGAGAGAAAAAAGCATTTAAACTGTTAAGAAATACAAATGATGCTTCCCATCTCAGTTAGTATTTTAACAGTTATTATTTCCTGCTTTATTTACCTTCTGTATCACAAGGCATTTATACCAGCAAGTATAAGTGTTATTCAGCTCCAAGTTATTATGAGGGGACTACCTAGATTACCAGTTTTTTCCCCCTCTCTCAAACTGATTTAGGTTTGAATGTGAAAGAATTCCAGATCCTTTTATTAAGAACCCAAATTCTTTTGAAGTATTAGATCTTTTAAAATTTTAATCAATCAACTCATCCTCAATGTCTCAAAAGATCTTTATGTATGAAAACCAAATAATCAAGACCTTGCTGGACAATACTGGTACTATCATAACTTAAATAAATTTAGCTAAATTTTAATGAATTGAACATACATGCTAGAAAACAGTACTTTTACTGGAGGCATAATTCAAAACACAATTTAAACTCCATTAATTATTTTAAAATATAGTGGTATAAAGGGCAAGTGAATAGGAAATACTGCCGACTAGTTCTCAGTGTTAAATGTTTAAACTTTTGGCTTTCCATGTATTGGATTGAAAAAATTTTTTTTTAACATATGACACAGAAGTCTTTACTTACTAATATCTGTTGAAGATCCAAATATGCGGCTTCCAACCTGCGCTGGCAATCTGGGATCATCATCCGGGATTCTTGTAGGATCTCTACCTAGAATGAGAATCTCTGTGAGATGTTCAGAGATGGCAAAACTTGTATGTGTTTAGCTCATATCTTGGTAAATATATCCTTATTAACAGGAATCAGAAAAAAGTTATGGTTATGTTAAATAGTTCAATATTTTAACTTAAACTGTGTTTATTAGAAGTTAGAAAGAAAGGCTGGGCACGGTGGCTCATGTGTGTAATCCCAGCACTTTGGGAGGCTGAGGCAGGTGGATCACCTGAGGTCAGGAGTTCGAGACCAGCCTGACCAACACGGAGAAACCCTGTCTCTACTAAAAATACAAAATTAGCTGGGTATGGTGGCGCATGCCTGTAATCCCAGCTACTTGCAGAGGTTGCGATGAGCTGAGATTGCACCATTGCACTCCGGCCTGGGCAACTCCATCTCAATCCAAAAAAAAAAAAAAAAAGGTTAGAAAAGCAAGACTATCACACTGTAAAATCTACAAAGTACAAGTTTTAGAACTAAATCTTTTTGGTAATCACCTTCTCATGCTAAGTAAAAGTTAACTGCAAAAGCTTTTCATAGAGCATTTATTTTAAAAGGCTATTTAAAATAAACTATTTCCCCTGCTGTCACAAAGCACCTTTATCCAAAATGGGATCAGCTGGTTATATAAATATCTCCTGCATCTTTTGAGTAATAAAGAAAAACAGTGTTCAGATAATATCACATGGAGATAATTACTGCATGAAAAAAGTTATTGAGTTATTGATCACATCGTGTGCACACTGCAGGAGGTTCACACTGAAAGATAGAGGTAAAGAAAAATGAAAAGCAAAGACCAGCAGGTTCATATTTTTGATGCTTATCATGCATAAAAAGTTATTACTTATCCTCGTGCTTCATTTTAGGAGAGAGATTATTCTCCCCATGCAATGTGAGCCAAATTACCAACGTGGCACCCCTCTGAATCTAAACTTCTTGCCTATTCCTCCTGATGACAGACACTACAGAATTAAACACAGAAATATGTATTCCAGAGGATATTTCTGGACATAAAATCCATCATTCAAAACTGGACTATAACACATCAAATCATAAAAGAAAAAAAATCAAATCAATGACAGGGAAACCCAATTGATAAGAGTAAATAAGTTAATGCCACATGTTGGACTTCAAATAGGGCTTTTTCTTAGAGTAGCAGTAAGCTTTATTTCCTTAAACTATTCTCAGAAAGAAACATAGAGCTCATCTAAACATTTATTTCCAGAAAATAATGTTTGGTCAAATACCTTTAAAGAAGTGGGTAGAAAATCTGAGCTTTTTACTAAGGAGATTATCAAGCTCATATAAAATAAAAAGCAATGATATAATTTAATGGCAATAATATTGTATTTTAATAGAAACTTTAGGTCCCAGTACCGTCTTCCTTTCCCAAATAGCTTTGTCAGAGCTCATATTGAAAACAAAAATCTGAAGAAGTTCTGTATTCACATCTATTTTCTCAGGTGGAAATCTATTGTTGAACTTAAGCCTCTTTTACTAATAAGGCACAGGTTGAAAATTTCAAACATAACATCATCATTTTATTTCAGAGCTAATCATACTATGACTACACATTTAACCACTGCCATTACATTATTTTTGTGTATCTGGTTAGTTTGAATACATGTGAAAAACCAGTGACAGGAACATTTCATACTGGATTTTTCCTATTTCCTTTCCTATGGAATTCCCTTCAGAATGGTTACAGGAATTAAACAAGATGAAATGAATAGGTCAAATCCATGACAAGTCACTATATGTGTTTGTAAAAAAATATTTTCTAAGCTTTAGCCACCAAAAAAACCTTTAAGCAATGCCATCCAAAAATAACTTCTATTCATTAAAATTCTATCTATTATCACAGACCAAGAATCCTCAATCTATCAAAACAGGACTCCAACTTACACAGGGCCAAAGCTCAGGCTCTCCCATACACTACCCCAATTCATTCAATAAGTTTACTATACGTCTTCAGGATGCCAGGTACTGGGGATACAAAGATGAAAAAGAAAAGGTCTCTATCCTCCAATCCATAAGTCTAGGTGTATTAACATGAAAATAAACATTTGAGATTGCTTCAAGAAGCTCATGCCACAGACAGCCAAAGGAACACAGTGATGACTATGATTTGGAATCCACAAACCACATCTTCATCAAAGCCATAAATCATGTATTTTACATTTGGACACTGAATTGCAAGTGTCTGGAATAATTTTAAAACACAGTATATGAGGTGTGATTATATATGTAAAGATACCCCCCAAAACACCTAAACTTAATTAAACGAATATTATCTTTCAAAGGATTTCCCTTGGGAGGTAGTACTCAAATTAACTGTCCTCTGTTTACAATATCTGAATCAACTGTCAGTTTATTCTAATGTTGACTATGATAAGTCTGAGCTTAATTCAGGATCTTGGCACAGACTGGGAGATGCAAAGAACCTTACAGGAACAAACACAACAGGATGTGGTACTGACTGATGTCTAATTGTTTTTAAAACAAGTTATGGTTTTATAGGGGGTACTTATTTGGTAAAATGGAAGTTGGGAGTTAGTTTAGCAAGGTTCAAGTATTATGAATAAATGGCTGAACCTAAAATCTAATCAATTTCCTTTAGAGACAAACATATGTAAATTGGAAAGGAAATACCCCAATGGGCAGATCTTCATTTCTGTCAGAAAGAAGAGCTCTGTGAAATAATCTGGCCAATGTCAATCCAGCTCTTAGGTTATTGCTTGATTGTGATGAGGTTTCCAGCTTCTTTAAGGATCCAGATCATCCATCAGAAGCTGGCTATACCTATAGCTATAATAATCAATAGATACTCTAATATTGGCTATTGGCTACCTCTGAAACCAATGGCATTAGTTTGCCAGGCTGGGGTCTAGAGCAATCCAGAGATTACTGGAATAATGGTTAAGTGTTTCCTTTAGATGGTGGTAAAATGGTAATGTACTCACTTCTCAGGAAATCTATTTGACTTGTATTTTATGGTTATTGCCAAATGAGTAAGATTGTAAGAAGAATCTTAAGTCAAAAAAAAAAAAAGATCTTTGGGCCCTTAAGCTCTAATGTATCAATAATTACTTTAAGTGTAAATATACTAGTTAAAAGGCAGAGATTCATGGATTGGATCCAATAACATGCTGTCTACAAGAAACTCACTTCAAACATAATAAAATAAAAAATAAAAGGATGGGAAAAAATAAATTTAAAAAAGCAGGGCTAGGCATGGTGGCTCATTCCTATATGATCCCAGCACTTAAGGAGGCCAAGGCAGGAAGATCGCTTGAGGTCAGCAGTTTGCAACCAGCCTGGGCAACACAGTGAAACTCTGTGTACAAAAAATAAACATTAGGTGAGTGTGGTGGCACATGCCTGTAGTTCTAGCTACTCAAGAGCCTGAGACAGGAGGATTACTTGAGCCCAGGAGCTGGGAGGTTACAATGAGCTATGATCGTGACAACGTACTCCAGCCTAGGCAAAAGAGTGAGACCTTGCCTCTAAAAAGCCGAAAAATCAGGAGTGGTTAAACTTCATACCAGATGAAGTAAACTTCAAAGCAAAATAATTATCACAGACAAAGAGGGATGTTACATTATCATAAAATTATCAATCTACCAAGAAAATATAATGATCTTAGTTGTGCATGCATTAAACAACAGAGTTTTAAAATATGTAAAACCAAAACTGATAGCGCTGAAAGGAAAAACAGACAAATCCATATACATAAGCTGGGAATTTCAATACCCCACTCTCAGCAACTGATAGAAATATCAGATGAAAATCAGTAAAGGTATAAAAGAACTGAACAACAACACACAAGGTGTAACTGACTTTTATAGAACACTCTACCTCAGAAAGAAAGGAGAATACAGTGTTGTAATAAGGAGAATACAAGTACTTTTCAAGTACCCATGAAATATTTACTGAAGTAAGCCATATTCTGGATCAAAAAACCCGAACAATAGCAAAAACCCCAACAAATTTAAAAGAACTGAAATCCTACATAATACATTATCTGACTGTAATGGAGTAAAATTAGAAATCATAACAGAAAGGAAAATCCCTACTTAGAAATTAAACAACATACATGTAAGGAACCCATGGGCCAAAAAAAAAGTCTCAAATAAAGACATATATAAATGGAAATGAAAATATAACATGTCAAATTTTATGGGATGCAGCTAAAGCAGTGTCTGTTGGGAAATTTATAGCACTAAATGCCCACATTAATAAAAAGGAAAGGTCTGAAATTAATAATCTTGTTTTAATTTAATTTAAATAAGTTCTTGCTTCAAGAACCTAGAAAAAGAGCAAAATAAACCTAAAACAAGCAGAAGGAAGGAAATATATATAAGAGCAGAAATCAATGAAATTAAAAACAGAAAAGCAATAGACAAAACTGTATGAAACAAAAAGCCGGTTTTGGCTGGGTGCCATGGCTCACGCCTGTAATCCTAACACTTTGGGAGGTCAGGGCAGGCAGATCGCTTGAGCCCAGGAATTCGAGACCAGCCTGGGCAACATGGCAAGACCCCATCTCTACAAAAAATTAGCCAGGCGTGGTGACACACATCTGTAGTCCCAGCTACTTGGTAGGCCAAAGTGGGAGAAGTGCTTGAGCTTGGGAGGTTAAGGCTGCAGTGAGCCAGGATCGTACCACTGTACTCCAGTCTGGGCGACAGAGTGAAACCCTGTCTCAAAAAAATAGTAATAAAATTAAAAAACCAAAAAGCTGGTTTCTTGAAAAGAAAAAAAAAAAACACGCTGATAAACCTTTAGGAAGACAGACAAAGATAAAGTGAAAGCGCAGAAATCACCAAAAGTAGTCCAAAATAGAGAATATCATTACAGATCCTGCAACTATTAAAACGAGAAGAAATACTATAAATGATGTTATAATATTGTTCATAATGTTCATAAACAACTTTGGAGAAATTGACCAATTCCTCAAAAACTACCAACTACCCAAACTTAATTACTTAAATAGT